TCATAAACCCGAGCCTTTTTATTTTATCCCTCTTTTCTACCTTTTTCAGGGCAAGTGAATAATTTTACCATTGTATTCTCCATCACAAAAAAATGTTGAAAAAAATAGCAGTTCGAAAAAGAAAAAAAAACTGTTCGAAAAAAAAGACATGAAAGAAAAAATGGAAAACAAAACAACAAAAGTGTGAAAAAGAAAAAATGCATTTCGACGAGAAAATTGTTGTTTGATATGTCGTCTTTTTATCTTGTTGTGTTTAATGTTTTGATGGAGTTGAGATTATTATTTGTTAGTTCCTTGCCTTGAATTTTAGCCATATATTTAGCCTTTTCCCCACCTTTACCTAAGCCACGTTACAACCAATAAAAGACCCTTTGATTTATGCATCTTGTTCTTATTAGTAGCGAAGATTTGATTTACTTGCAGGCTTATGGTAATATCGTGTCGATTCTGACATTGAGCGTTTCTTTACCCCAAACACATTGAGTGATTTGAGTGAATCCCGATAAGGTATTGAGTTATGAGCATTGAGATTTATGAATGAATGGATATTACAATTGCACTTGACTTGTTTCAATTGGTGATGTTCAGTTGATTGATTTCTTGACTTCAATAATTATTGTGGTCTCTACCTTACTTCCTTGAATATGAAACTTGACAAAGAACGTTTAATGAAGTTTTTGACTGATTTGGTTAACCATACTTGAGGACAAGCATGAGATAAGTGAGGGGGAATTTGATGAGTGTTGAGAATCGTTAATATCTGTTCGTTATTTCTTCGATTTTGTGAAGTTATTGCTGCTGATTTGGTTGTGTTATGTCTATTTTCGTGCAGGTCCTTACTTTCCAGAATTGGTGATAAAACGGGCGAATTCTGCATTTTTTTTATTATTTGGTCACGGCTGGAGACATGGGCACGACTCTGGGCACGACGTTGTCTGACATGGCAGTTTCTAGAAGGTCCAGTCAGCGGCGGTTTCTAGGAGACTTCGTCTGCACGCCTTTTAGAAGATTGACGAGCAGAGTTGCATTAGGAGACTAGTTTAAGTTTGAATTTAAATTTAAAAACAATTATCTTTTGTATTATTTTATTATTTTCTTTGTTTATCCTTTAGGCTTTGAGAGGCTATAAATACCCACTTGGGGTAAGCCTAAACGAATCATTCAGAATACATTCTTCTTTTCTCTCTAGTTTTTATAAAAGTTTTCTCTTTTCCTTTTCAAGTTCTTTTTATTTTTGTTTATTTTCAAGTTTTATTTTTATGCTAAGTATGACTTTTGTCATGCTTAGCTAAATTTTTCATAAGCAGAGAGTTGTCGCGATGATTCAATTCCAACGGGAGAATTGAAACGGTCCCTTAATATCTTCGGAATCTCTCTCTCAATCTCTGCGTTTATTTTTCAAAATCAAAACAGTTTTCAAAATCGAAGATTGACTTTGGTCAAGAAGTTGTTGCGATTAAACGTGAGGGAGGAAGATTCGGCTTATAGAAAGCAATTCGACTTCTTGGGAACACACTTGACGAGATAGCTTCGCCAAGAGGGAATTGAGATCGGAATTGACGGTTATAGAAACAACAATCCGAGTCGGTCGCCACGAACTTAAACGGTATTTGATCTACGACAATAGATGTTGTTAGAATCAACTACCGAAGCCGGAATCAAAGATTGCCTTGGGTATTCGGTATACAAGATAGAATCACAAGGATAGCCCTTGTAGACAAAGTAACCGACGTGAATCCCGAAGAGAAAATCTTATTTGATGATCTAAAGGAAATTGAATCAAAGCGAAGCTTGAGGCTACTTTTACCGTATTTATTCACAATCTTCATCTTCTTATTTTTACTTTAATTACTTTTATTTAATCACTTTATTATCTTTTACTAAAATCCCCCCATTTTTACTGTTTCACGCCTGGCATAAATAATTCAGACAGAAATTTATAATTTTCTAAGTCCCTGTGGATTCGACCCTACTTCTCTACGCTACGAATTTTCCTTTAATTATTATCCGAGAAGAAGGAATTTATTTTGACATCAAAACAACAGTTGTCAATACCTTTGTTAAGCCTGGAAGTAGTTTTTGCTCCACAAGGACTTTCATTCCTTGTTCTGACATATGTCCAAGTTTCTGATGCCATAACATTGCCGAATCTGAACTACATGAGGCAACAGAGGCTTCTGCTTCTACCAAACTCTCTCCCTTCAGCATGTACAAGTTTGCAGCTATTTTTTCGTCTTTTAGCACCACAAGCGCTCCACGGAACACCTTCATAATTCCTTTCCGTGTTTCAATCTTGCTTGCATTATTATCCAACAATCCGTAGGATAATAAATTTTTCTTCAGACCTTTCACGTGCCACACATCTCGAACAACTTTAATTGTTCCATCATACATCTTCAATTTGATGGTTCCCACGCCAACGATCTCTAAGGCATGATCATTGCAACTATACATAGATCCTCCTGAGACAGGTTCATAATGATGGAACCATTCTCTTCTTGAGGTCATGTGATATGTTGCTCCCGAATCAATGAGCCATATATCTGCAAATCGTTTTCTTCCTTCCATGGTGGTTGACGTTTCACAGCATAGAGCATCTCTATCATCTGAAGTGTTTGCGGTATTGCCTTGTGGATTAGAGTTTTTATTTAGACTCCAATAATCCTTCTTCAAGTGACCCTTTTTTCCACAGTTGTAACACTTTAAATTCTTCTTGCTTCTCGACTTCGATCTACCATGTTTGTGACTGCTACTTTGGCCACGTTCTGTTGATCTCCCTCTCATCGTTGTCATCGTTGTCAATGCTTCTGCTTGTTGCAGATTTACTTGTCTGTCTTCCTTGTTCTTGCGCCGATTTTCTTCTTATAGAACAACAGCTGCAACGTCATCGAAGACTAGACTGGTAACATTACTGTTTGTCAAGTTGATGATGAGTTGATCATATGAATCCAGTAGACTTTGAAGTAGAAGTTCAGCACGTTCTTGTTCTCCTATTTTACAGCTTAAGGATGTAAGCTGAGAAAATAAAGTGTTCAGTGTATTTAAGTGCTCCGTCACTGAAGTAGATTCTGGCATACGGAGAGTGTACAATTTTCTCTTAAGGAAAATTTTATTGTGCAACGATGTGGCCTCGTACAGTTTGGTGAGATGATCCCATATCTCCTTAGCTGTCTTCTTCTCCTCGATACTTGACAATACTTCATCTGCTAATGCTAGATGAAAGTTTGCCATAGCATTTCCGTCCATTTCGATCCATTTGTTGTCGTCTGTGAAATCTACTAGCCTTTCGCTGATAGATGCTAGACAACCGTCTTTCCTCAGGATGGCCTTCATCTTCAATTTCCACAATGAGAAATTTCTCCCATTGAACTTTTCAATATCAAATTTCGTTGCCATTGCTTCGTTTACGGATAGCTCCCACTATTTCACTATCGTGAATAGTTATCTGGAACCTTCAAAGAATGGGTAATAACTTCTTACTTTCTTATGTTGGAGGATCCACCTTTTGGTGGCAACCACAAAGACAATAAGCAGATATTACACACTCTAATCTAGCTCTGATACCAATTGTTGCGGAATACGGCTATCGGATAGAGCAAAATCGCAACTGATAATTTGAGAAAATAAAAATGAAGATAAAAGAGACACAAAATTTATGTGGAAAACCTAAAAATTTAGGGTAAAAACCACGGGCAACGGTAGACGAATTTCACTATGAGAAAATATGAATTACAACCTCTCTCGATCTACCAAGGAGAAAACAATGATAATTATCTCTAGATAAAAAGGAGAAAACAACTCTCAAGAAACTCTCTAAAATCTCTCTAGTATTGGAAGAAAGCTAGAATGCTTTGGGATGATTTTGAAGCTAAATGAGCTAGGGTATTTATAGTTGAAACTTAAGGACTAATCTTATAAATACCCTAAAGTTTAGTGACTAAAGTTTATAATTTACCCATTTAATTTTCAAACATTATTGCACCTAATTTTAACATTGTTGCACCTAATTTTGACATTGCAATATTAGGTGCCTAACTTGAACCAATTTTCTGCCGCCCAAGCTTTGACATTTCAACAGGCTCGTGATGCTCTTGATAGACAAGCAATTTAATATGTTGTATACGCCGCGTGAGGCGAATAAGGTTGCTCATTCACTAACTAAATAGGCATTGTGAGGACCAACCCGTTTTGGTTCTATCATGACGAACCGGATTGTATTAAATAAGATGTAATGCTTGATGCTATTGACATTTGAATGAAATCAGAGTTAGGGGCTGTTTGGTTTTTGCTAAATGGAATCATTCAGCGCTGAATGCTGAACCGTTCAGCATTCAGCGTGTTTGGTTCTCACCTCTGAATAAAGACTGTGCTGAATGATTCAACAAAATACTACTGAATGATTTAGTATTAAAGTACATTCTGAATGATTCGGAACCATTATCAAACATCATGTCACATTCAGAGCTAATTCATACAGAGCCATTGAATCATTCAGGCCATTGAATCATTTAACACTTAATCATTTTGATTTAATCAAACAACCCCTTACTTTTAAAAAAATAACTCGAGACATGCTTAATTGATATCAAATTATGAAATAATAATATGTATAATGTTATTTGAAAGTTAAATTACTATGAAATAATAATAATATTTAAATAAATTTATATTTTAAATAATTAATCATTTAATTAAAAATATACAATAAATATATAAATATAAAAAATGTTATTTTAAAAAATAATTTTATTCAAAATAATAAAAATTGTTAAATAACGAAGAAATGAGTGCAAATATAATTTTCGGTATAATATAATACTCTTTTTTTCTTCTCTCAATGAAAGGGAAGACGGATCAAATATAAAGATGTGATTTCGAAAAAGATTATTAGCTAGGAACCAAAGGGAGAAAATCACCTTTTAAGACCCCTGTAAAACCTCTCTTCTCCTCCTCTCTCCCTCACCGTCTCTTCGCCGTGGAAGAGCTAAACCTTTCTCGAAATGGCAACCTCCTACCTCCTTCGTCTGAAACCCCGGGGTCTGCATTTTAATGGCAGAGGTAAAAGTTTCCATTTCGGAATATTTTTGAATTGTGCTAGCAATTTTGTTGAACAGTTCATGTGCGTTCTCTAGCAACAACGAATTCTATACATGATTCTTGCAGGGCTTACCCCATCAACAAAATAGTATTTCATTTCTTCTTTTTCCACTGACGGGCCTGCGAAATCTTCGTTTTTGAAGGGGTTGAAGGCATCAAAGGAGGGCAAAGCAGGAAATAAAGAACCAAAGAAGCGAGCTTTCTTTCTGTTGTTTACTGATGGAATTCATTTTAATTGAAGTTTAGACTGATGAAGTGATGGGTTTTGGTAAGAAAAAAAATTCTTTGAATGTTTTATAGCCTATCTTGATCTTGATATATAAATATATATAATATTTGGAATTCCAATTAACTGTTATTTTGCCTGAGTGAATACAATCCATGTTTATAATCAGTTGGTATGGTTTGCGTTAAGTGTTTTTGATGTAATTTTGTTCTACAACTGATCATGCTGTGAAAGTGGGGCATGGTTTAAGGGAATTCTATCAAACGTAAAGCAAACGTTGCTAGAAAGGCCTTGGTTTCAGAAATCCATTTCCAGGGAAACATCAGATGCCAAAGTTGACACTGAAGCATATGATGTTACCGCGACGGAGCATGGTTCACCTTCCACTAAATCTTTGAGTCTATAGATGTACCTAAATCAACGGAATTTATAACAAGTTCTCCTGGTGGAAAAAAGGATGTTTCATCCTGTTCAGCATCTGATACAGTTGGAGGAAATGCTTTCAAGGAGTCGGATGTAAATGCAATTTCAGAGGTATGTAAAATGCACAGCAATTCTGATAATGTTGCCCTTGGTGACGTTCAAACTATAGTTCAGCCACCAGAAGCTGTAAGAGTTTCTGATGGCAATGAATTGAGAACTTCAGTTACTGATGTAACGGTAGAGAACTCTTTGAAAATGAATCAATCAAGAAAGATTTCGGATATGTTTGTGGAAAAGCTGAAAAATGATGTTGAGCGATTTCAAGGGGTAATGTTGGATGTACTTGAGCCGAATAGGGAAAACCTGCAACTTTCCTAGATGACACAAACAACTTATTTGAAATTATTAACCATCTACCTGGTAACAGAACTGCAACTTCTGTTCAAAGGCCAACTGCAAGCACTAATTCTGGCAAAAACCGTACATCATCCAAAAGGTCTTTGAGAGTCAAGGAATTGTTGAATGTCATGATGAGAAAAATGAATGATCCAACAGGAGGAGAAATGGCAGGTAATGTGCAGGATACTCTAGAACCAACTGAATCTTTGAAAGGGAAGAAAATGGAGAAGAACATTAAAACTAATAGTTTACTTGAAGACATGAAGGGGCTATTTGGAGAAGAACAAACTATTAATGCTCAAGAGAGGACTATCCTAGATGCAACTGATCAGCGTACCATTGGAGGGTTCCTTAAAAATGATCAGAGCGCAGCTAACTTTCAGGACTCTGATGTTCAAAAAACATTATAGAAAGTAAAATGTTTACTGGGAGAAGAACCAACTTTGGAGGTTTTGGAGAGGGTAATCTCTAATGTAACTGATCAGCACAGCAAAGGAGGCTTGTGTAACACTGTTCGGACCCCAGCTAACTTGCATAAGTCTGATGTTAAAAGAAGACATACATTATTGAAACAAATACTTGGAGAAGAACAATCTATGAAGGATCAGGAGAGGATAATCTCAAATGTAACTGATCAATGTAGAAATGGAGGGTTCCCTAACAATGTTCAGAGCCCAGCTAAATTGCAAAACTCTGATGTTAAAAGATGTACATTGTTTAAAGAACATCTTATGAGCCATGGAAATAAAATGTCACTTGACGAGAAAGAAGAGTCAAGTTCTCTTGCAGAATCCATAAGTGAGAAGGAGGATAGCAGCTTGAATTTGGCCAATTCCAATTATGTAAAATCAGGGTCGAACTCTAATGGTTCGCATCCGGTTAGCAGAGAAGAGGTTGAAAGCCATTTACAAACTTGTTTTCTCGGCAAAGAAGGATCCAAGGATAACAAAGTACTTGTCCGGTTTTTGACCAAAAATGTTGAGAAGCAAAATATACTTGAAGCTTTCAGTGATTGCGGCCCCATTGTGAACATAGAGGAACTTTCCTCTCCTAAACAGAGCCCTTTCAAAGATTTTTTGGTACATTTTGAGGTCACTTCATTGATAGTTGCTTCACACTGCCACCCTACCTCCCCATATATATATATATATATATATATATATATATATATATATATAGATTGTAGGCTCTAATTACTTCTTGATTGATTTACTCCGTTGCCTTTTTTTTTAATAATATTTGTCTATATAAAGTTTATAGGCATCAGGAAAAGTGAAATAGTTTTATTAACCAGGTTCTAGTCTCTGCTGAGCTTGATTTAGGAAGTATATGTAGAACTTATGGAAGTATTCGGTTTCATCAATCAAGCGTCTTAATCTTTTCCGGCTTTTTTTGCAGACAAGTCAAGGTTCCGAAACTTCTCTTAAGAAAAATGACCTCAATATTATGGAAGCAGAAGCCCTTGTGGAGTCGATTTCTTCAGAAGACTCGGGTAGTGCGATTTCCATTCCTGATTTGATTGGTGATCCTGAGGCTACAAGTTCATTAGTGAAGAATCCTATCAAAACAGTTAAAGTCAAACACCTGCCTGAGGATATAAGCTCACAGCAGCTGAAAGAAGCACTTGCCTTTTGTCATTCTAACATATCCAACATTTTCTTTGTTTCCACAAGTTCTGTCGTACGTGTGGAGTTTGAGGTGAACTTATGTCCCTTTGCTGTTAATATCTAAGCATTTAACTGTCTGTTCAGTTTCTATTAAGGGTCTTTGTAGTTTTGGTTTCATATTTAAATATGTAATTATGAAGCTTAACTTATCAGACAGAAGATGCCAAAGAGAGGGCACTTGCACAACGATCCATTCTTGTTTCGGAAAGGAAGCTATCAATCCTAAGGATTGATGCACCCATGACAACAATGGTGAGGATATCAAACATTAACTTTAATAGCAAATTCCAGAAAATATGCAATTCTTATGCAAAAGTCAAGTGTACGATGAAAAGAATTACCGGGGTTGTGGATGTGCATTTCAAGCTTGCCGAATGGCCTAACATGCTGAATATTGTAAATAGGTAAGCTTTTTAATCTTTTGATGTGTTTATGATAGTCAAACCCAAGAATTCTCCTAATATATTGTAGTGCTTCAATCACAAGCAGTTTGAATGGACTTGAAGTGGATGAGAACTGGTGGGTTGCGCTGCCAGCTCCCGTCTTTCCTCCTGTAATTCTCAGAGCCCTTTGGTGTCGACCGGAAGGAAGGCAACATGTGAATGCCGTGATCTACAAGTTATCGAGAGAAGTTGAGAAACCCATTTCTACAACCTAGTTGAGTCAGTCCACAAACCTTGCTACCAGGGGTGAGAATTTTAATTAGCGAACTTTAACTACTTAATGTCTACTGGGTTTAATCCAACAAATGAATCAGTAGAAATGCAATTATTTTGGAATAGATTTTCTGGAAAGTCATTTAAAAGAGGGATTTCTAACAGATGCAACAACTGTTGCTATTTTTGGATGACGATTATTAAATTGTTAAGACACTCTCATGATCCTTTAATGAAAGGCGTTCATATGATGAAATTTATACTAAATATTTTTTTTTGAAAGAATCTGAAATCTTAACAAATCCAGAAAAAATGTGTTAATCTTGAAAGGATTTAATTTATTAATTATCACAACTAAAAAAGAACCTTAAAAGTCTGAAAAGAAATTGATTTAAAAAATTATGCTGCCATAAAGTATTAATTTATCCACGAAAACGATGATCCCCTTCTCCCCTCTCTCTCTTCCTCTTGTTGCCATCCCGGTTCCAAGTCTTCATCATGATTAATTCGGATTGACCCACGTTGCACACCTAGTTTTGATGGATAAGTCTCTCAACAGAGATTTTATGCATACACAAGAATTTAGACCTAAGACTTTGCTTAAACAATATTAAATTGTTTATCGTTTGAACTAACTCTTGTTGGTGATGAATCCCTTTGTTTATTTAAAGTTTTTAAATTTTATAGTTCAAGAGTATAATGTTATGTAAATTTTAATTTACAATATAAAAAGTGACTCATTCATAAATCCTAATGAATTTAGTAAATTGTTTGTGACCAATCTCTCTAAAAAAATTAGTAACTATACAATAAGAGTATATATATATATATATTAAAATAAGGCCCAAAACAGAAAGGAAAATGGAGAAGAATTTTATTATTCCAAAGTGTGAAAAGAAAGATGATATAGCATCCAAGTGAGGGTTTTCTTTTCTTTTGTTTTGGAGGCAAAGGCAAAGGCAGTTTATAAAAACTTGGGTGGTGGTGGGTATTTGATAGCGTTCTTAACAAGTTTTCTGGAAGCAGCATCAGTGAGATCAATGCCACAAATATCAGAGAGTCTGATGAGGTATAAAAGCACATCAGAAAGTTCTTCTCCTAAATGTTCTTTCTCTGATTCCTCCCAATTTGGCAACCCTTTCTCCACTTCTCCTCTCCATTGGAATATCTCTGATAGCTCCCCCACTTCTCCAACCTACACATCCATAACACAAATAAATCACTCGTTTTTAAGTTTTGTTACACATCTCCAATATCCTACTTTCACACTCGTTTTTAAGTTTTGTTACACATCTCCAATATCCTACTTTCACACGTGTAGTTAAGGGAACTTTAGACAAAAATAAGAATTTAGTTGAATTCTAGTAATTAAAAAAAGTGTTAAAAAGGGAATTCAAGTCGTCTGCGTAAAATGAGTGTTGTTTTCCTTAAAAGTCTCAATTTTAAATATTTTTTTCTGTGGGTGTGTGTCCATTGTTAATGACTATGAAAGATCCTGAACAGATAATACCTTGTAATCAACCTAGGTTATTTAAAAAAGAGTGAGAAAGGAATCCATCAAGTGGCCTTAGTGAATAAAGAGAATGATGTTCTCTCTAGAGTTTGAGTTTAAGCTGCTGAGTCTACGGACGTGTGTACATTATCAATGACTAAAAATTTTTTAAATATATATTACCTTATAATTATTCTAAACTATTTAAGAAAATGTTAAAAAATGATTACCATAGCAAGGAGGAGGTTCCTAGGACTGTGGTATTTGTCCCAGTCCCTGGCACTGGCAAATTCCTCAAGCTTCTTTGAAAGATCCTTGAGACTAATGTTAACCGCTCCCTCTTTGGCATCCTCTTTCTCTTCTCCCATGCTTTTTATTGCTTCACTTGCTATGGTTTAAGTTGATAGGAAAATTTATAGCTTTGAAGGGGCAGGATAAATTAATAACAATGATGCTTCATTCATGGTTTAAACATGAGATTCCTTGCTGCCCCACTCATACTCCTTAATTTAGTTTGAAATATTCCTTTTTTAAACATTTCTATCAATGATATTTACAATGACTCTAGTTAATAATGTTTGATATAGGGTAACTATGACTGCTTGTAGTTCAACATGCTAAATATATCCAGTTATCAGATTTTGGGTTTTTCTCTAATAGATCACATGGGTCTATCAAAGTTCTTGTTTATGCACTGTAACTGGCTTGAAGATTATGATACTTTTATGTTCGAAAGATATAAATTCCTCGAGAGCTCCGATAAACGAAGAAAATCTGTCCAGGGATCTTGATTGACGAAGAACTAGCAATTCAGAGGTATAATAAAGATACTTCATCATTTATATTATTGATTTAACTATCGATGATTTGGTTGATCAACATTTTAAACGTTAATGATCTACTTAGAATAGATTATTTAGTGGTCAGAATCGATTCCATAATGTAATCACTGATCGAATAGTTTACCAAAATATGTCAAACAAACTCAGATGCTATATTCTGATGCATACATAAAAAAAGAATTATGGCCAAAATCCTGTAAAAACAAGTGGAATAAACTTGACAATAATCCCAAATTTAACAGTTGGTTATCCATCCAATCTGATTTTTGAATTGAATCCTATTTGTGATTCTTCCCCATATTCCAAAATCGTGGCTTATTTGTTGAAAAACACACACGCATAAAAATGTAAAAGTTTTAAAAATATATATATAAGAAAACAAGTTAAATTCTCTTTAGATACGATAAGATGAAACCGACTTATGATTTGTGGTGAAATGACTGAAAATTTTAAATCGAATCACTTCCGGAATCTGATGCTTCTTAATGTTAGTTTACAATATTCCAATTTGGTAGCATCTCAAGCTGAATTTATTATTGTTGCAACTTGTCGATATTCACTTAAATTACAAATGTGATATCAGGGATGGACGGCTAGAGATAATTGTTCTTTTGAAAATTCTAAATTATCATATATTACAATATCTTTTTATTGATAATCTGTTTTCTTTCCTTAAAATTATAAGTTCATTCTCTTATAAAATTTTAGAAATCCGTCCCTAACGTGTAATCACACTTTGGAGAAGTATAATCATACGTCTATACTTATATAATATCTAGTTTTTATATATTTTTATGTTATTTAAATTTGACATTTCATATTTAAAATTAAGATACTTTTGCACGAACCAACTTACTTCAGTGGTTAAAGGAATCGTTGTTGTTCCTAGAGGTCATGGATTTGAGTACCAACGATTGCAAAAAGGTGATTGAGAGTTCATTGCCAATTGATTGAGAGTATTTAGAACATATACTACTTTGTAATCATCTTGGCTTAATAAAAAAAGGCTTAAGGCTCACATTTGCCCCTATAGTAGACTCAATTTATCACTTTCGCCCCTATCACATTTTCACATCAATTTAGCCCTTGAAGTTGTTCAATTACATCATTTTATGCCCTTCCCCTAACTTAAAACCCTAAATTATAAACCCTAAGTTTGTGTTTAGAGGTAATAAGGTTATGGTTTAGGGTTTATAATTTATAATTTAGGATTTTAAGTTAGGGGTAGGATTATAGAATGATGCAATTGAACAATTTTAATGGTTAAATTGATGCGAAAATACGATAGGAGCGAAAGTAATAAATTGAGTCTACTAAAGTTATCCTTTTGCCTAAAAAAATTAATATACTTTTCATAAAATTAATTCGAACGTAGATTGTTTCTAGGAAAATAATTTATTTTTCTAAGAATGTCTAAAAACATAACACGTAAAAGTAAAATCAATTCGATTCGATCATATATCTTAAAGTTTCTGAATAGTTCATCTTAATTTGGTCCGTTCTCGGTTTTTTATATTAAAATTTCCAAATTACTTTATTTTGATAAATTAAATTTATTTTATGTTCTTAACATTTATTTGGTAAATTTTTAAATCATCTATATATTCATATATTTTTTCTTTTTAAAATAAATAAAAATAATTAATAATACTTTTGTACCAAAAAAATTAATAATGCTTTATATAACATTTATAAGTTATTTTCATTATCTAAAATATAAAACACTTTTTAAAATAAAAATAAAAGTATTTTTTTGTAACATAACTAATGAAGAATAAGGAACTTTTAAGATTAGATATATTTTAAACCAATTTTTAACTCAAAATTAATTTGAAAATAATATTTTTGACTTTTAAAAAACTTTTTGAACAAAACTATCAGAACACTCTTATTTTTTATATTTTGTAATTAATTATAATTTTAACATATACTTAAAGTGAATATTTTAATTTTCAAAACACTTGTTAAAAATAATATTAACATATAAATTAGGAAATCACACTTTTTACAATATTTTTCTGCAGTATTTTTTAAAAACAATTTTTAAAAGATTATTCTTTTTTTTTTAAAAAAAAGTACATTTCAATCCGAACAGTAATGAAAAACTAAACGTATAAATATTTAAATATATATTAAATCTGATATTTTAGAGGGGAAAAAAAGGAACCGAAACCTCATTAAGAAGAATCTGATTCCATTTAATTAATTAAAAGAAAACTAACCTATTCCAAAATCGTGATACTTAAACCATTACATACGGAAATCAGTCTCATTACAGCTTAGAATAATCAAAAACTGTCGGTAAGATTGCACAAACCAACTTACTACAACGGTTAAAAGAATCATTGTTATTTTTAGAGGTTACGGGTTCGAACATTAGTAGTTAAAGTGGAGTAATTGAGTGTTCCTTATAAAATGATTTAGAATATCTAAAACATATATTACTTTATAATCATCTTAGCTTAATTAAAAAAAATTGTCAAGATTCAAAGCTCTTTAGTTATAATTTGTTTAAATAAACAGAGTAAACTACAAGTTTAGTAACTCAACTATCACTTTTGTTTTGTTTTGATCACTCAACTATTTTTTTGTTTCAAAATCATACTTAATGTTACGTTTTGGTTTCATTTTGGTCGCCTTCCGTTAAAAAATTAACATTGATGATGACATATCATCATAAGATAGTGTCATGTCATCATTGAAAAAACTAAAAGTATCACATAAGTAGTTCTGTTAATTTTTTTTAATAGCGAGTGACTAAAATAAAATAAAATTAAAACATAACGTTAGGCAAGATTTTGAAATAAAAAATAGTTGGGTGGCCAAAATTGAAAAAAAAATAATAGTTGGGGTACTGAACATGTAGCTTACCCAATAAACTATGGGGTCAAATGTAAGACCTTTTTGTTATGAAATTTTATATTGATCAATTTTATGGCCATTTAAATTTGAAGATGAGTGTTGGATACACGTAACATAAATATATTTAAAATAGTTAACTCATAATCTTTTATTTATATCCAATGATATAGTATTTTAAGATAAAGTAGAATCAGATTCCATTTAGTGGTTAATTAAAGGGGAGAAAGCTAAACTATAATATATTTTAATAAGGAATTTTGTGCTATTTGCGGATATTATATTTAAATTGGTCATAGGTTTTTATATATAAAAATTATATAAAAATAATTTTAATAAAATGTTAATTGATTAAAAATAATAAAAATTTACATATCATCATAGTGTCAGGGAGAAAACGACAGAACAATTAAAACAAATTCAATGTATAAAGTTTAGCGATTAAATTGAATGAAATGAAAGTCCAATGAGTGAAAATGAATAAATTTTTAATTTACCATGCTTATATTTCAATATCGATACTACTTTGATAGTACCGACACTCAATACGAATATCAATACTAAATTGGGATTACTAGAATCTAAAATTTATACTCAGTATTGATACTTAATTTATAGGATAGTATCGATGCCTCTTAGTAGACTGGTATCAATACTACTTGTACTAAATTAAACATAAGCAAGTAAACATAGATTGTAACATCCTCAACCCAACCTTATTAAAAATTGGGTTGATGATGTAACATTAATTGGTTGAAATAAAGTTGATAGCATTATTTGTCCTAACTAGATTCTCGAAGAATTAATTATTTTATGTGTATGTTCTCAGTCAACATAAGTTCGTTCTTGAACTGCTAATGAAAGCTAAAGGGGATGTGCTAATCCATTCTCAACTTCCATGTTGTTGTCTAAACTAACTCAGGTTGCAGGGGCGTTACTGTGTGATGCTCGAGAGTATTAAAGCATCATAGGGGCTTTGTTGTATGTGTGCCGCACACGTCCAAACATCACTTTTAGTGTGAAAAAAGTGGTGCAGTACATGCATGCACCATATTAGGGACATATGCTTCTTGTTAGAAGAATATTGCGTTATTTAGTAGGCACCCTAGACCGCAACTTGGTCATGTCTCCTAGAGAAACAAATGTGAAGGTGATAGTTTTGGCTGATGCTGATTGGGGGCCAGTCTTTATGATATGAGGTATATCTCTGGTCATTGTTGTTGAAAAGGAAACTAAGAAGAAAAATTTCTTCATTCAATAATCATAACTTTGTAGAAGTTTTCAATATAAAGGAAACAAATGTAACAAACTTGCTAACGAACTAACTAGCTAACAACCTAACTAAAAATACAACCGGTCACACACTCTCAACACTCCCTCTCAAACTGGTGGTTGAAAGATATCTTTAAACCCCAGCTTGGAAACCAAGTAGCTGTATTGTTGAACTCTCAGAGCTTTTGTCATTACATCTGCTAGTTGTTCATTTGTTCTTACATGTTTTGTTTTAATCACTCCTTGAACTTTTTCTCTAATGAAATGGCAATCTATTTCAACGTGTTCAGTCCTTTCATGGTGTTGCGGAAGACGACTATCGAATAGAGCAAAATCACAACTGATAATTTGAGAAAATAAAAATAAAGATAAAATAGAAACAAAATTTACGTGGAAAACCCCTAAATAATATAGGGTAAAAGCCACGGG